TTTCTTCACTTATTTTATATATATTTTTTTCTAGTTTCACTGAAAATGGAGTTTTCCTTTTTACTTTGCTGACTTTACATGCCATCTTGACACTAAAAGGGCCAAAGATTTATGCAAACTATCAGGGCCAAGGCCAAATAATTTTTAGTGGCTAATGGATTCATTATTTGTTAAATCACTCCTTAAGCGCTAGGTAGCCTATGGGACTAACCATAGGGACAGTACTGAAGTCTGTAATCATATCTACATAACACACATGGTAGCACTTTTGACAGGTCGACGGAAGTCTCCTCCTACACAGGACACTCCTGTGTATTGTCATGCATCATGGAAAAGGGTCATGGAAACACCTGTAGGGTCAAATGCTGCAGGTATAGAATAGGTTTATTTTATAAATCAATAAACCTATGCAGGTTTATTAGAGAAAAACCTTCTCGTAGAAAGTAGTCAACTGCATGCAATCCCTCAAATCTAATTATCCCAGAGCTTAGGCCAGTCATAGAGGGTCCAACATTCCAATCAAGAGGGGCCCCTCTGCCCTTAATTTTTTACATATGCATTACAGTGGTGGATCAGAGTGGGGTAGAGAACTTCTATGACCGGTCAGAATAGGGGAACATCCAGAGTCCCACAGCTGCTATCTGCCTATTTGATTGAGCCAACTCAGACCCGCTGAGCCATTTCTTGGTCAAATGACCAGGAAAATGAGCCTCCACGAACATCCGAGATGTGTCTTTCTTCCGATGTTTTGGAGATGCGATTTAATACATCAAGTACCTGAATTTATATAGCCACCAATCATGATGTAATGGATTGTCATTAGATCAATTTTAATTGCTACTCAAAATGAAGACAGTTGCCTTAGAGCTATAACCTCACTGGGTCTCCATTTCTTTATCACTTGAAAAAAACACCAGGGGTTGAGGTAGATGATATTTGGTAAATACTAGCCTGCTGAAAGTGAACTCAAAATTGGAAAGCTATGATGCCATTCCTAAACATATTCTTCTGTTTTCATACCCTGAAGTCTAGGTGTCTGCACATTTAATGGGACTGGCTGACTCTGAATCCCTTCCAACCAGATTTGATGGACTGACTAGCGATACAATTATTCCCGGGATTTAGTGAGGACAGTTAACCACCAGGGGGCAGTCAGGTTACAAGGCAGTGAGAAGTGACGCCACAACCGGGCAGCAAGGTATACGGTCAGAATGAAGCGCACCTGTGACTTTGAAAAATTCACATTTCAATTAAATTTCGTGAAAATTGCATTGCCCGCTAAGATTGTGTCATCCAATTCTGGTGTGTGTGTGTGTGTGTGCGCGCGAGCGTGCGGAGGGGATGGTTTCCCCACACCACCACGCAACTCTGGGACACTAATTGGGTATTCTACATTTTGACTCAATTCTGACACTATCTACCCAGAGATAGCATCAGACTCCACAGATTAAGTGCTCCGTCCTACAAATGGGTGTCCCGCCACCCTTATTTCAGATTCCAGTTGGAAATCCAGGCTGTCTCCTGGGCTTCTGACTGACGAGCTGTAGACTGGAAGTTCCCACCACCTCCTCCTTGGGTTTGATTAATCTGCTAGAGTGGCTCACGGAACTAAGAGAAACACTTCACTTACTAGATTGCTAGTTTATTATAAAAGGAGAGTCCGATGGAAGACCTGCTTAGGGCAAGGTGTGGGGGAACGGGCACGGGCTTCCATGCGCTCCCCGCGTGCACCACTATCCCCAAATCTGCAAGCATTCACCAACCGGGAAGCTCTCCAAAGCCCCTCCTCTTGGGGGTTTTGATGGAGGCTTCATTATACAGGCACGGGTGGTTAAATCATTGGCCATTGAGGGCTGAGTCAGCCTCCAGCCTCTCTCCCCTTCCTGGAGGTCACGGGGGCAGGACTGAAAGTCCTGACCCTTTAATCACCTGGTTGGTTTTCCAGGCAACCAGCCCCCATCCTCAGGTGTGGTTCCCAAGTCACCTCATTAACATGACGCAAGGCGTCTTTATCACTTTCTACACTTAGGACATTCCAAGGGTTCTAGGAGCTCTGAGCGCACATTAAAGAAGGACAGAATGGCCGCCCACTCACAGTGTGGGATCTCTTTTCATTGGAGTCTCAGTCCAGCACTTACTACGGGCCAAGCCCCGTCCCACAAACTGGGAATGCATCAGTTAACAAGGCAAAGGTTCCTCACCTTGTGAAACGGGGCATGCTGGTGAGAGACTCAGTAACAACTAAAATGAGCATGCGGATTACGTTGTGCGTGAGGTGGTAAGTGATGCGGAAGAAAGGAAAAGTAGAGTGTGGGAGGAAACTGGGATTTGGGCAATGAGTTTGCCGTTTTAGGTAGGGTGGTTATAACAGGCCTTTCGGAGGAAGCATTTGACCAAAATTGAGGTCAGGGAACAGGCTATGTGGCTGTCTGGGAAAAGAGCATTTCAGGAAGGGAGAACAAACGTGAGAAAGTCCTAAGGCAAGAGGGAGCCTGATAGGTGAGGTTGAGGTAAAGAGGCACAGAGGATTTTAAGCAGAGAAAGGCCATTAAAAAAATGTTTATTTATTTATTTAGAGAGAGAGGGGGAGAAGAGCTCATGTGCTGACAGGGAAAGGGGAGAGAGGGCAAGAGAGGATCCCAAGCAGACTCAGAGCTGGAACCCACGAACTGCGAGATCATGACTTGAATACAAATCAAGAGGTGGACGCTTAACCGACTGAGCCACCCAGGTGCCCTGAGAAAGGACATTTTTAACGGGTCACTCTGGGGCACCTGGGTGGCTCAGCTGAGCATCTGCCTCTGGATTTTGGCTCAGGTCATGATCCCAGGGTTGTGGGATCAAGCCCCGTGTTGGGCTCCATGCTGAGTGTGGAGCCTGTTTAAGATTCTCTCTCTTTCACTCTCTTGCTCCTCTCCCCTGCTCACGCTTTCTCCAAAATAAAAAAAGAAAAAGAAAAAAAGGTCACTCTGGCTGCAAAGTTAATAACAATCTCTAAGAGACTTATTTCCTATAGAAGCTTCCAAACATTCTGTTCATCAGCTCATCAAAAAGCACAGTGAATGGCAGTTAAAGACAACCATATTGTCACCCTTCAGCTATTGGCAGCTGCTGTGCATATACCCTCACTGTGCCAAGTGCCAGGCACTGAGCCAAGCACTTTCTCATTTAATCCTTCCAATACCTCTATGATATTGTCACCATGATTAGCTCTATTTTAAAATTTTTTTTAAAAAGTGGGGGTCGCCTGGGTGGCTCAGTCGGTTAAGCGTCTGACTTCGGCTCAGGTCATGGTCTCACGGTTCGTGAGTTCGCGCCCCGTGTCCGGCTCTGTGCTGACAGCTCAGAGCCTGGAGCCTGCTTCGGATTCTGTGTGTCTCCCTCGCTCTCTCTGCCCTTCCCTGCTCACACTCTGTCACTCTCTCTCTTTCTCTCAAATCTAAATAAATAAATAAATAAGTAACATTAAAAATTTTAAAATAAAAAAAAGGAAATTGTAAAATTAGTGAAATGTCCCAGTTTCAGATGAAGTAAATAAAGTGGAATTCTTGAAAGCTGTAACTTAAAGAATTCCTCCCAATTTGAAGAAACACTGCCCAAGCAAGGCTTAGTACCCCAATACTCAGGAACCAAAGACGGTGATGGTAGGGGGGTTGGGAGGACCATAAGGGCTTAGTTCCACCACCACATGCTTCTTTTAAAAGTTCTATTTAGCCGTTACACCACAAACTTACGGACACCGTAACTGGACTGACTTCCAGACCACTGATTTCAAAGTTTCCCTGTAGAGCTTGGCCTCTGTGGGGTTTGTTCTGTACAGATTTGGGCTTTTAAGGGGGCAACACCCCCCTTAAAACGGACTTTTCTCTAAGGGGTACCTCTCAAGCTGTGGTGATTTAAAAACCCACCCAGGCAGTGTGCTCAGAGGGATGTCCCCAGGACCAGTGCTGGTGTGTGACAAGGTAAGGAGGGAAACTGAAAATGTTTATAAACTTCAGGGGCCATCTTACAGAGTAGTTTTATGTCTGCTGAATCTAATAAATTGGGGCTTGTATTTAGTATACCTTGGTTTTAAACCTCACTTTCCATAGAACTTCATTTTCTAGTGTTTAACGTGAGAGCCTGAATAGACACATATAAAAATAGGACTCTGACCCACAACTTGCAGCAACCTAGCTACAAAACCAACCCCTTATCTATAGTCATCTGCCTAGCAAGCCTGCCTGCTAGAAGTCAGACTTGCAGGAAGCCGGGCTGCTGGCTTCAATAACCACCCAGGAAGGTAAACAATAAAGACTGTAACAATTGCCCCCAAATGGCCAGGACGTGATTAACAACTCCCAGCTTCCCTAATCTTTCTCCCGACCTGGGTCCAACGAAAGCCATACATGGCTAACTGGCGATGGCCAGGGATCACACAGCACGTCCCACTTCTAACTAGTCTCCCTACCGCTTCCCCTGCAGCCTCCAACGAGCGCACGCCTGAAGCATTCCTTCCCTTTTTTTCTCCACCAACCGTTCCCACTCCTCTGCCTGTCTTTGATTTTCTGCCAAAACTCAAGCGATGGTGGCTCTCTTGCATAGCAAGCTCTGAATAAATTGCCTTTGCGTTTCTCGTGTGGTTGGTCTTTACTTGTTTCCACATAGTGGACGGAGAAAAAGGAAATAAAGCAGGAGTCTTCCACCGCAGACGGGGCCGAGGAGCTTTCCCCGCCCTCCCATGCAGGCGGGGACCTTAAGGACCGGAGAGGAGAGAGCATCCCAAACACTAGCCAGGACGTAAGGAATAAGGTGGTTGCCAGATTCTTCGGACCAGGAGTGGAAAATTAGAGGACCGCTACCACTGGCAGGCGCCGCGGAGAGAGTCTAAGCCCACAACGCCAGATGCTTTCTGCTCCCCAAAGCGTCCCGGTCTCAGGGCGCGAGTAGAACTTCTGCGCATGCTCCACACGCACGCGCACTCTCGGCACCGCCCCTCCGAGCGGGTGCTGACGTCACGTCCGGCGACGGCGGAGGCGAAGAGGCGCTGGCTAACCGGGCGCAGGTGCCCCGTAGCCTCCCTCCGCCCCGGGGGCCGCCCTCGGGCGCGCCCGTCCCCTCGGCGGCCTTCACGTCGCCTCCGCTGCCCGCCGGCCGGTCAGCGCGCTGGGCCTGGTTTCCGCCGCCTCCCCCCGGACCACTTAGTCTCAACCCGGGTGTGGTTTCCACTGCTAGAGGTGAAGCATAACAGGGGGACCTGGGGTCGTGGAGCAGGGTGTGTTGACTTTTCCTCAGGTGGACGCTCAGGGGCCGGCGTGTAAATTACAGGATTTTCCTCCGGGAGGACCTGTAGCCATCGTAGTGCAATCTGAGAATCGTGTGTGTAGGTAACGGGCACCGCACCGCCCTGCAGCTGTTTGCTGCTTTTAAAGAAATCCCCGAACTCATTTGGTGTTTTAGTGCTTTGGAATTTTTTTTTTTTAATTTTTTTAATGCTTATTTATTTTTGAGAGAGAGAGCGAGCGAGCATGAACACAGGAGAAGCAGAGAGATAGGAAGGCACAGAATCAGAAGCAGGCTTCAGGCTCCGAGCTGTCAGCACAGAGCCCAACGAGGGGCTCGAACTCACAAACCGCGAGATCACGACCTGAGCCAAAGTCTGATGCTTACCCGCTGAGCCACCCTGGAATTTTTGTTTTTTGTTTCGTTTTTGTTTTTGTTTAAAACGTGTGGTCCCCAAAGCTCAGAACCCTTTAGAATTTCTCCTTTTTAACGAATCTTTACCTTTCCTGAGACCGAAGGGGTGCAGAGTTTTCGATAAGGAAGACCTTGGCTTGTTTGGAACTCAACCCTCCCTTCCTCGCTGGGGACTTGTCAAGGATTTCTAAAACCTGAGGATTAGACTCCTTTTTGCACTGACATTTTAAGTATTTGATTTCAGGCAGTGTAATACTTTCTGCAAAATGCCTTACATCCATTTTATTCTTAAAATGCCAGCCTAATCTCACCTTTCCCCCGATGTCTTGCAGTCAGTTCTATGAACATTATTGTGAAGGAACCTGACAATGCTGAACTTTTTGAGTCCCAATGCAGATTTTAAGTCGTCATTCTGTCTTCAGTTCTGTGGCATCGTTTATTAATAGGCTTCACTCCTGCCCCCCTTCTGGTTTACAGTTCAGTGCTGTTCGTCTCTTGTGGGCTCGGATTTCGATAACGGCATTTGGTAGGGTTGTGTTTAAAGGAAAACTAAGTGAGAAGCTTGTTTTGTTGTTGTTGTTGTTTTTACTTTTTTTATGGTTTAGTTTTTTATTTCACAGAAGGCCCATTTGAAAATAACGGCTAAGCAAAAGAAAGGAAATCACCCGGAATCCTACCTAAAGACACAATGCCAGCATTTTAGAATACAGTTTCATTTTTTTTAATGCAGAATATTTGTAAAAACAAAAACAATTCCTAGTGGAGACTGTTTGGTAGCCCCTTTTGTATGACGTCTTGTCCTCGTATTTCACTAGTGTTTTTTTTTTTTTCCTTCTTTTCTTTGAACGTGTATAATGGCCAGGAACTCCCATAAGTAAAGTAGGAGCCTTAGTGCATGCACCTTGTGAAATCTGTTTTAGCAGCTCAGAGGACTTTAGTTTTATGTCCTGGTTTTTGGCCAAGGAACATAGGTGAGGTGGTGTTAGTTGTTTAAAATGAGACATTTAGGAGCGCCTGGGTGGCTCAGTATTTAAGTGACTCTTGATTTCAGATCAGGTCATGATCTCATGGTTTGTGAGATCCAGCCCTGTTCATCTCTGTGCTGACAGCGTGGAGCCTGCTTGGGATTCTCTCTCTCTCTCTCTCTCTCTCTCTCTCTCTCTCTCTCTGTCTCTCAAAATAAATGAATAAACATTAAAAAAATAGATAATGTTGAGTCCTGTGCAAAGGCAGCCAGTTTATTTTAGTATATTGAATTTGTGGGGAAGTTTGAGAAAATCATTGGAAAAGTTCCCAAATTGTCCAGTCTCTGTTTTTAAGCTCACTCTTTCCCTCTCCCTTCCTCTTTCTCTCTCCAAGAATGAAACATGACTGAGGACTCTCAGAGAAACTTCCGTTCAGTGTATTATGAGAAAGTGGGGTTTCGTGGAGTTGAAGAAAAGAAATCATTGGAGATTCTCCTAAAAGATGACCGGCTCGGTGAGTTTTACAAGTTAGATTGAGGTTATTGGGTTTTAGTCGTCCCAGCTGTCCTGAAAGAAGTGGTATCTTAAAAGACATTCAGAAGTATTTGTTACCTGCTGTATTTTTTAGTGATAGGATAACAGGTAAATGGTGTATTTTGGGAGAGGTTATGGATTTTTCAAGCTTCTATTTGCTGAGGCTGAGTCGGATGTCTTTGAAAGGACTGTTAAGAAGGCTGTGGTATTTTTTCTCATATTAGACCCATATATTTCCTCTGTTTTCAGAGCTGTTATCATAGCTTCTGGGTAAATTCATAACTCTCCCCACGATTTTTCTCCGAGGCAAATACCGTGAGACTACATTATGTGTTGACATCTTAGTTGCTTTGTAGTAATAATAAGGTCTGTTCTGCTGACTAAAGTAAAATAAACTGAACCATAGGTAAAAATAGTACTTTATATGCATAGAATGCTTCTAAAATTTCAAAACCATTTCCCTCCTGATCTTTGTGTTTTAAGCATGGCTGGAATTTGACGAGCACAGGGAATTGAGGTTCAGGACAGTTGAGTGTGGTTTATTGGAGAATGTGGGGATCTAAGGGCTGACCATGCCATTCACTAGCTCTGCTAACTAAAGTCACTTACCTGCTTGGGGCTTCAGTTTCTGCAGCTTTAAAACAATAACTACCCAACAAGCTTGCGGTGTGGATTAAATGAAATTCTGTAAATAGTAACTACTGCTAATGTGACACAGGGAATGTAGTAATGTATGCAACATGCATCTCCTAGGCTGTGAAGCACTGATTGTTTTCAAGTAGCCAGTTGGTGAAACACCCAGGCTAGAAATCAGACCAGTGTTGCCTTTTCTAGATTTACTGACTGTAGTGGACATCCTCTGGAGAAATGTCTTACTGTACTTGAATTAAACAAACAAACAGACAAAAAACCGAAATGCACTTTCACGTCGTCAGCATAAAAAGTTTCTAACCAATTGTTCTTTGTTTCTTCCTCTAGATATCGAGAAACTTTGTACTTTTAGTCAGAGATTCCCTCTCCCGTCCATGTACCGTGCGTTGGTATGGAAGGTGCTTCTAGGTATGAGACCCAAGAGTTGGAAGATTTATCTTCAAAAATGTTGAGTGATGGGATATTTGTCATTCTTATCAGTCAGGAAAGAGAGGATTCTTCTAGGCCCTTTGCTGCATATTGGGCCTAATGTCAGGAGACTGAATTATTGCTCACTGTGAAAGCCTTTAAGAAGGTGATTTCAGTAGCAGTACGTTAAATATTACTCTACGGGCGTCAGTAATAATAGAAGAGGAAGTAAGGTGTGTTCCTAAAACAAGGTGCGGGGAGAGCATTGGACTGGAGAAAGAGCTGGCCTGGGCTTCACTGTCAACTGGGTAAACCTGAGGAAGACCCCGGCTAGGCCTCAGCTCTTGCACCTGTAAAATGAGGTTACTGAGCTAAATTAAATTAACTCCTAGGTTGTGGCTCTCAATTTGTTACTTCTGTGATTCCCAGCTCTAGGGGGTCTAACTTCCTGATGAGTGCTAGCAGAGTCAGAAAGAAATGGAAGAGTTTTTACTTCCTAGAAGCACAAATGGATACATTCCAGTGACGAGTGGCTGAAGGAGAAGGAGAAATGCGCCTGCTCAGTTTCTGTGGGAGAAAAAGTGTATTAGGGGCCACAGGTGACTGGCCTTTTGAGCCAAGTGTTTTTTTCTCGATTTCTGCTGGGCCTGCTGATGCTTATAATACCTGTCTGTTGCCATCCTCCTTTTCTTTCTTCCTTAAGCAAACAAATAATTCGAGTAATCGCCAAATTCTCCGTGAGGTAGGTATTAATATCCCAGTTTTGCAGATGGGGAGAAAAGACTGCAAGGCTAAATCCCTTGCCTGGGGCCTTCTAGTCTGTAAGTGGCAGAGCTAGGATTCGAACTTAGGTTGGTGGAGCCCGTTTGAAGGTAAGATAGACTGTCGACCTCATTCTCTTTCCAAAATGTACTGTATTTGCAGGACTTGAGACATCTGCTGTCCTAAGTCTGATTATGTAATGTGGAGGCAGCGAGCAAGCACAGTCCATTCTAGAAAGTGGAATGCCTTGCTTTGTTGTGCATCCCGACAGTCTTTGAGCACTCGTATGTCTGGTGGGTAACAGTGCAGTTACTGCCCAGAGAGCAGGTATCAACTATTTTAGTTTTTCTTACATCTTGAGCCTTTGTTCTTAAATCTTGGTGTTTCCAGTGGCCATCAAAATAAATGCCTTCCAGGGATGCTGACACTCTTTCTGCTGGGAAATACTATGTGTCTTATTAGTTACTAACACCGGTGGATTGGGTGGGAGACGTACAGTTGTGCTTTGTGACACCTCGAGAGTGTCCAGGCTTGTTCGTCACCCCTGTTTTCCCCACTTGTCTTTACCAGGTAAGTCTTTGTTGTTATTTTTGTGGTAAAGACACTGGAGATTTGGAGCCGCCATGCCGTGTAAGGAGACGGGCTGACTCTTCCTAGAACAGGGGTTGATTACTCAGGGACCTTGTCAGGCCTGCTGATACCATTTCAGGTAACTATCAGAACTTTAGAACTAGCTCTTTGAGGTTGAACATGGGAGGCACTGTGCTGCCTCAAGTAGTATGAGGAGGGTGTAATTACAGCTGTTTAATCTTTATTAGCCCAGATTTGGAGGACATGTTAGTGTATTCCCTTGGCTTTTGCGGAAGCCTGGTACGGAACTCCAAAGCTAAGGTAGGTGAAGCTTTCTGTCAGGACAAAGAACATTTAAGCGAGTTAGGTTCTAATGTTAACATTGCGTCATGTTAGCTAAAGTCTCTTGTGCTCACCCACCTTTTGTTTTCCAGACTGTTCTTTAGCATACTGTATCTGTGGTGTTTTCTACTAAAAGAGTGATCCTTATCAGATATGTGCTAACACACTAGCTTAGTATGTGTTGTGTACTTTCGAAGCACTTTATATAATTTTTTATTCATTACAGCAACTGTATGACACATATTATTAGTCTCATTTTTCAGATGGAGAAGCTCAGCCTTCTCTGAGGGGAGATTGAGTAAGTGGCCGACAGCCGTCCAGCCACTTAATTGTGGAGTTAGAGTTCAAACCCAGGAACTTGGACTCCAGAGTCCCATGTTCCTGTACAGTCTTGTTACATTTAATGAGGCCGGAATAAATATGGTTTTTTTTTTTTTTTATAGCAGAATTTAGAGCCTTGAAAATTCATTGTCAGCGTTTTACAAACCTGTTTGACCCTGGCATCCTTCTTTTCATGCGGGCTTTTAGGGCTCGTGTTGTGCATAGGACGCTTGGTGGGATGCTTACCCATCCCATTTCCCACCTCTGACAGCTGAGGAAACAAGTTCCCAGAGAGACACTTTGAGAGTCCTGGTGTTCTCACACGTGGGACTAGAAACTATGTTTGCTAAAAGCCTGTCCGGTGCTCCTCCCACTCTGCTTTTTCCATGCCATTTGTTTGTAAAAAAGATGGTTTTTGCCCCCAAACCTCATAGGTAGGCATGTTTAAATGAGTCAGTGAGCATAAAATGGCATCAGAATATGATGGAAGGTGGTCTCATCAGTGAAAATCAGAGATTTCTGTGGTCCCGAAGCTAGGCTACTTTGTGAGCAAGTTTTGATCATCGGGGAAGAGAAGGATTTGATACGTTGGTGCTGGTCCTGAGATGAAGGGCCTGTATGGTTGGCTAGGGCAGCCATAACTAAATACCACAGACCGGGCTGCTTAAACAACAGTTTATGTTCTCTCAGTTCTGGAGGCTGAGAAATCCAAGATCAAGGTGCTGGCTGGTGTGGTTCTTGGTGAGGCCTCACTTGGCTTGTAGATGGCCACCATCCCAGTCTGTCCCCACATGGCAGAGAGAGAGACAGCAAATGTATCTCTTCCTTCTCTTGTAAGGGCCAGGAGCTCTGTTGGATTGCAGTCCACCCTTACAGCCTCATTTAACCTTAATCTCCTTCTAGGCGCTGTCTCCACATTTAGCCACACTGGGGTGGAGCTTTAACATCTGCATTTTGGGGGAAGCAGTTCAGTGCATAGCAGGAGCAACATGCAACAACTGGAGACCGGTCTGTAGGAGCCGAGGGTGGCCCCGGGCTGACAACCATACATTTAATTAAATCGTCTTGATGATTGATGTGGTTATCTTGAGTTTAAGTGGCACACTTACTCAAGGGCTTTATGATGCCATTTCATTTCTCTTAAATATCAGTGATGCAGGTACCATTGAAATAATGATAGTACTTAAAATTTCAGATTGTTTTATAGAGAGAATTTCTAAAAAGAATCTGTATGGTAACTAAATATCTGTGTGATTCTAGTCTGATTGTAATAGGCAGCTTCTCACTTGATTCTCTCCAATAAAGGGGCGATTTGGATTTGCATCTCAGTGTTTTTGCACTTTCTTTCCCCCCCTCCGTCTCCATATAGGGATCCTGCCTCCACACCATGAGTCCCATGCCCAGGTGATGTTGTACCGCAAGGAGCAGTACTGTGACGTCCTTCACGCCCTGAAAGTCGTTCGCTGTGTCACTGAGGCCACGCCTCAGGTTGAAGTCTATCTCCGCATGTACCAGCTGGAGTCTGGAAAGTTGCCTCGAAGTCCTTCCTTTCCACTGGTTAGTGGTACTTTTGTTGAACACTTAGTTCAAGTCTAGACTGTCCCATCCTGCTAGCATTTGACTACATCATATTTTACCTTAGAAACTCTCAGTGGCTCTCCTCTCTCTGGGCAATAAAAGCAATACATCTTTCCCTGGCGTTCGTGGCCCTGCACATTCCTACTGAATCTAATTTTTTAAAATACATTTTATTTTGAAATAATTGCAAACTTGCAAGAATACTACTAAGAAATCCTATATACTCCTTACCCAAGTTTCTCCGTCATTAATATCTTACCATGTTTGCTTTGTTGTTTTCCCTGTGTTATGTATACATATTTTCTTCTAAACCATATGAAAATAAGATGCAGACATGATATTCCATTACTTGAAATTCCTTCAGTATATACTTCCTAAAGAAAATAACACTCCCCTAGGTCACCACAGTATAGGATAATCATAGTATAATCATTGAAAACAAGAAGTTTACATTGATACAGTATTAAGATCTGATCTTCAGACTCCATTCACATTTGACTAGTTGTCCCAATACTGCCCTGTATCACCGACCAACAAGAAGTTTTGTTCAGAACTTATCAGACTTTCTTACCAAACTTTCACCCACTAGTTTTAACCTTTGTTGATGATTTAAAAAACATTTTAAGTGTTTTAACTCTCCATTTAAAAACCATTTTAGAAATAGAAAAACTGGCAAAAATAGTATAGTGTTCCCATGTACTTTTACCTAGTGTCATCAAATGTTTCATCTTACATAATTATCAAACCCATAAAGTTATCGTTGATAAAATACCATGAATCTGTAGACCTTACTGAATGTCCTGCTGCTTTCCTTTTCTGGGTCTAGAATCCAGTGTGGGCTCACAGGTGGCATTTATTGCCACATCTTCGTCTCCTTTCATCTGGAAAAAGTTCCTTGGTCTGTCTGTGATGACCCTGACACATTTGAAGAGTACTGGGCAGTAGAGCGTGTCTCAGTTTGGGTTCATTTGTTGCTTCCTCATGATTAAAATTCGATTATGAATTTTTGGCAGGAATACTGCAGAAGAATGATACTTAATTACTGTTGCCGCTAACTTTGACCAGTTGGTTAAAGTGGGGTCGGCCCTTGTTCTTCAAAGTAAGATTATTATTTTTCCTTTTGTAACTAAGAAGTCATTTGTGAGGAGATGCTTTGAGACCAAGTCAATGTCCATCCACTAATGATTCCTGCCTGAGGTAACTTTTACTTTGCTGGTTGCCAGATGGTGATTTTCTAACTGCTTTTTTCTTCTGCATTTATTAGTTGGCATTCTTTTAAAAGGAAGGGTTTTCCCTTCTCCCTCATTTATTTATTTATGCCAGAGTGAATTTATGGTTTCCTCTTTTATTCAATGGCCTGCAATCCATTACTCCTATTATTTATTTGATGTTCAGCTTGTGTCAGATTAGGCCAGTGGGAGCCCCTTCAGATCGACTCCTCTCTCTTTATGATAAGTTCCCATCGTTTTGAGCATTTCTGTACTTTCCGACACAAAAAGTATTCCCAACCCATCTTGTATTTTCTCTACCCAGGCCCCAGATCAGCTGTTTCCGTGTTGAATCAAGTGTGGTTTTACAGGGCAGCGGATGTTCTCGTGTTGTGGCTGGTGTGTGGGGCTTCTAGGTCCTGTCCATAGACAGAGCTGGGACACATGTGCACCTTCGCTATATAGAATCACCCACACCCATTCACACACACCTAGGTGTGTTTGTGTGTCTGGCCCTGGGTGTTGGATGCCCCCCGTTCACACTGATCCCTCTGGTTCCAGTCCAGTACCACGAGTGCCTCTAGCCTTCACCCTCCTGTGTGTGCAAATTCCTTGTCTGACAGTTGCGAATATGAAAGGCTCTGGTCCCCCTTGGTACACTTACTGATCTGCTTGTTCGTCTCGGAACCAGCCCTCGCCTGTAGGCCCCAACCTGCTTTTTCAACTTCCGTCTTCGACAAACCTTTACTCCAGTTACTTGGACTGCTTGCTGTTCGTAAAGGGAAAAGAAGCGGAAAAGGAGAAGTTCAGGCAAAGGAATGATGATAACTCTTGGGCTTTGGCTATTTTAATGCAGTTCGAAATTCATTTTCGGCGTTTTAACTTTTTGTGTCTGTATGTGGCTAAAACACTGCTCACAATCGGGATTTGCCTGCAAGCTGTGCTCTTCAATAAAACATTTTTTTAAGTTTCTTTATTTTTGAGAGGAAAGGGTGCATGCCTACACGTGTGCACACGTAGGGGAGGCACAGAGAGAGAGACTCCCAAGCAGGCTCACACCATCAGTGCAAGCCCGATGAGGGGCTTGAACTCATGAACCACGAGATCATGACCAGAGCCAAAATCCAGAGTCAGATGCTCAACCGACTTAAGCCACCCAGGTGCCCCAAAGCTTATTATTTTTTTTAAGTATTTTTTTTAATGTTTATTCTTGAGAGAGAGAGGGAGAGAGAGGGATGGAGGGAGGGAGAGAGAGAGAGCGCACGAGCACAGGAGGAGCAGAGAGAGCGAGACACAGAATCTGAAGTAGGCTCCAGGCTCTGAGCTGTCAGCACAGAGCCCCACACAGGGCTCCAACATACTAACCGTAGATCATGACCTGAGCTGAAGTCAGACACTCAACTGACTGAGCCACCCAGGTGCCTCCCCCAAAGCTTATTTTTTCATGGCAGTTTACAGCCTACCAGTCAGTATAGCACTTTGAGAGTTTTGACTTATTCATTCTTTTTGAAGTTAATGATGTGGTTCCCACGGATAGAGCTTAGGTTGTTGTCCACTTTTGTTAAGTTTATCAAGAGAGAACTGAAAGTAATTGGAACTCTTAACAAACGTCTTTAAACTTTGCTTACCTCTGACAAAGCGAAGTGGATAGTTCTCTGCAAGTTCTTAAATTATATATTAAATGAGGTTAGACTATCTATTAGTTCAAGAAACCTAAGTGATGGGTCTCATCCCTACTCAGCTGGTCCGTGCTCCAAGCCGACACCTCTACTGCGGCCTGTGGCAAGTGTGACCTCAAAGTGTTGGTGTTGGCTCTGCCCCCACATCTCCCCAGTCATTGAGCCCCACGCAGCCTCTTTAGTATTCCTGTATAGCAGAGTGCGTGACAGTGCTCGACACAGGCCTGGGAACACGGTCGAGGACATTGGTCCTCCTCCCTGGCCTCTCAGACCGTCCTGGAGCCCGTGAGTTGCCACATTCGGGAGCCCCCGGCAGAGTGTCCAGTATTGGGTGGGAGTCTGGGAAGGGAGTCTCCCTTCTTCTTTCTCTTCCTCTGACATTGATTAAATGTTAAGAAAATGTTATTTTCTGTGATTCTCTTACTCTTGACATTTTCTAGAATATTAAGGAGTTGAAAGGAGACCTAAAATGATATGCTTTTATTAAAATACGAATTTTGACCACGAATAGCCAAAACAATCTTGAAAAAGAAAACCAAAGCAGGAGGCATCACAATCTCAGACTTCAAGCTATACTACAAAGCTGTAATCATCAAGACAGTATGGTACTGGCACAAGAACAGACACTCAGATCAATGGAACAGAATAGAGAACACAGAAATGGGCCCACAAACGTCTGGCCAACTAATCTTTGACAAAGCAGGAAAGAATATCCAATGGAATAAAGACAGTTTCTTCAGCAAGTGGTGCTGGGAAAACTGGACAGAGACATGCAGAAGAATGAACCTGGATCACTTTCTTACATCATACACAAAAATAAACTCAAAATGGGTGAAAGACCTCACTCAACATAAGACAGGAAGCCATCAAAATCCTCGAGGAGAAAACAGGCAAAAACCTCTTGATCTTGGCCGCAGCAACTTCTTACTCAACACGTCTCCGGAGGCAAGGGAAACAAAAGCAAAAATGAACTACTGGGACCTCATCAAATAAAAAGCTTCTGCACGGCGAAGGAAACAATCAGCAAAACTAAAAGGCAACTGACAGAATGGGAGAAGATATTTGCAAACAACATCTCAGATAAAGGGTTAGTATCCAAAATCTATACAGAACTTACGAAACTCAACACCCAAAAAACCACATAATCCAGTGAAGAAATGAGCAGAAGACATGAATAGACACTTCTCCAAAGAAGACATCCAGATGGCCAACTGACACATGAAAAAATGCTCCACATCACTCATCATCGGGGAAATACAAATCAAAACCACAATGAGATACCACCTGACACCTGTCAGAATGGCTAACATTAACAACTCAAGCAACAACAGATGCTGGCGAGGGTGCGGAGAAAGAGGATCTCTTTTGCATTGTTGGTGGCAATGCAAGCTGGTGCAGCCACTCTGGAGAACAATATGGAGGTTCCTCAAAAAACTAAAAATAGAACTACCCTACGACCCAGCAATTGCACTACTAGGCATTTATCCAAGGGATACAGGTGTGCTGTTTCGAAGGGACACATGCACCCCCATGTTTATAGCAGCACTATCCACAATAGCCAAAGTATGGAAAGAGCCCAAATGTCCATCGACGGATGAATGGATAAAGAAGATGTGGCATACATACATGATGGAGTATTACTTGGAGAGCAAAAAGAATGAAATCTTGCCATTTGCAACTACATGGATGGAACTGGAAGGTATTATGCTAAGCGAAATTAGAGAAAGACAAATATATGACTTCACTCATGTGAGGACTTTAAGACACAGAACAGATGAACACAAGGGAAGGGAAGCAAAAATAATATAAAAACAGGGAGGGGGACAAAACTCGTAAATGTGGAGAACAAACAGAGGGTTGCTGGAAGGGTTGTGGGAGGGGGGATGGGCTAAATGGGGAAGGGGCATTAAGGAATCTACTCCTGAAGTCATTGTTGCACTAGATGCTAATTTGGATGCAAATAAAAAAAAAAAATCCTGGAATGGAAAAAAGGATATTGGTGGTGGTGGTGGGGGAACTAATAAAATCCAAATAAAGCATAGAGCTTAGTTCATAAAAAAAAAACAAAATGGGAATTTTGATTTAACTTGGAGCTTTTAAGAGGAATAGAAAGATGCTTTTTAGTTTGTTTTTAACACTAAAATCCTTTGGCTGTTAAATCCTAGATGAAAACATAATTTTGTGTACGATATGGTGTTTGAAAACAAAATAGGTTTTAGTAGATTCTAGTTTTTATAAGATTACCTTGTTTAAATTTACTTGAAGGTTTATGTTCATATTTTGAGTATTGACACAATGTTTGAGAAATGCCATTTTTCTCATTCCTAAAATTCTGATTCTAGGGACATTTTAACTTATTAGTTGCTTAAAGACAGAACAAAATTCTAAAGGTATGTATGAATGCTTTCCAATAAAGAAAATGCTTTATTAGTCTTTTTGGAGTCATCTGATTTTTGCAAATTACTGTATTAACAGATGTCTCCGGTTACTGTTGATGATATTTATCACATCCTTTTGGAAGAAATTCTTTTCTAGCCCTGAGAATATTTTTGGGTGGAGAGAGCCAGCACTTTGCTTATGATTTATGTTTTCTTTGATGACCTTAAACGTTAGAAAGTGGAAGATCTCTGAGTGCTTAATCTGAAACTTGGGCAGTCATGAGCACCACTGATCCAAATAAATTTCTCTGGTTACCCAACCTTATCTCCGCCTTAGTCTTCTGTTTAGTCATGGACCATGTGCTTTTCAGTTCCACTTTGATTTATAAATGCAGCCTCTTCAAAAGTTAGGGGGTAAGGTTTCATTTTCATCAAAGAAATATGTATTCCTCTCTTCTGCTGGCTTCCGCCCTTTAACCAGAGATTTATTACTCCTCTTTCAGGAGCCAGAAGATGAAGTATTTCTTGCCATTGCCAAAGCCGTGGAAGAGATGGTAGAGGACAGCGTCGACTGTTACTGGATCATCCGATGCTTTGTGAACCAATTAAATAACAAGTACCGGGAGTCTTTACCCCAGCTGGTGAGGGATGCTTTTCTTTCTCTTGAGGGTAGCGGTGGACAGTGGTACTAGGGACATAGCCTTACTTCCTGGTGCTGCTGCAATTATGAGCGGACTCTCTACAAACTGTTTTCCGCAAAAGGTCAACAGTAACTATTTCCAGATGGTCTCTGTGTCTCTGTTGCAAACACTCAGCTCTGCTGTTGTTGCACAGAAAGCAGCCATTGACAATGCATGCAAGAATGGTCGCGGTGCATCTGGCCTGCTGCAGGCCATAGTTTGCAACCTCTGCTCTTTTGTATTCCTTATCCCGGTCTAGAATATACTGGATTTATCTAAGATTGCCTCTCTGTTACTTAAGGTTTACGTTTGGCTGCATATAACGGATAGCCTAAATAACAGAAGCTTTATCTTTTTCTCTGCTGTAACCAGAAGTCTAGAGGGAAGGCAGTCCAGAGCGGGTGCCATAGTGCCATGATATCTGCGGGGACCCAGGCTCCTGTCCTTTTGGTCTGGCATTCTTAGGTGTGACCCTTCTTCTTCCTCTGTTCACAGATGGATGCTAGAGTGACAGCCATGACATCTATGATCTAAGATGGTAGAAAGGGAAGGGCAAAGACCAAAGGGAAGGAGTGGAAGGGACAGCCAGTCAAGTCTGTCTTCCTTGGACAGACTTTCCTTCTGCACCTCTGTTAGTGGCAGGACCATGGCACCCGGTCACCTCTGTCTGCAGCAGAGGCTGGGATCACATTGTGATCTCCTGTGAAAACAGGATTCTGTTACTGAAGAAGGAAAGGTGACTGGATGTGACAGAGGCAGCCTGCTGGCGGCTGTGCTCTGACCCGCAAGTCCAGAGAACTACGGCCACTTGCTCCGTCAGCATAAGCCAGTGGCTCTTTGCCATTCTCTTTTTCTAGTTTTTTCCTTTATTTCTCTCATTTATAAAAATGAGTGTCTTTTTCTTTCCTTTTCTTTTCTTTTTTTAAATATAATTTGTCAAATTGGTGTCCATACTGAGAACAAACTGAGGGTTGATGGCGAGTGGGGGAGGGGAAAGTGGGTGATGGCTGTTGAAGAGGGCACTTGTTGGGATGAGCACTGTGTGTTGTATGAATGTCTTTTTCTTAAATCAGTGACTTGTTCCATTAGAAAATTCTTTTGAAATCAGTGACCGTGATAGTGGCTGCAGGGCCACATGAGGGGGCGCTGATGGAGGCCAACTGAGCCCCGAGGATAACTGTGCTAACTACAACAGTTACCGGGGCAGTTGGCAAGACCCTTCAGCTTTGTAGAGCACTGTTACAAGAGTATTTTCTAGATTTCAGTTAAGTAAAATTTGATTTTCAGAATTTTAAAATTTAATTGACAGTTGATTTCAATAAAAATAATTCAAACGTGGTGAGGGAAGCATAATGTTGGCTGCCCAATTGAATCAAAAGATCCAGATTATACCATGATTTCATTAGATTTTCTTATTTTGTATTGGAGCAAATTCAGTAGCATTTTGCTAGTTTATGTTTAAAAAACTCTTTATTTTTTTTTAACGTGTACTTATTTTAGAGAGAGAGAGAGTGCGCGTGCAAGTGGGGGAGGGATAGAGAGAGAGGGAGACAGAATCTGAAGCAGGCTCCAGGCTCCAAGATGTCAGCAGAGAGCCGGACGCGAGGCTTGAACTCACGAGCCGTGAGATCATGACCTGACCCAAAGTCGAATGCTTAACTGACTGAGCCACCCAAGCGCCCCCCAGAATTCTTTATTTTTGATAACACAAGTAATAAGTACATTCTTGAAGTATTAAACAATCTGGATAAATCCAGTGTTCCCAAAGATCTGTACCAATACCTCCTTATCCCCTACTTTCTAAGAAGTAAATATTGTCATTAGCTCAGTGTATATATCCTATACTATCTTATGTACATTAGGATGGATGGAATGCATCCATGCACACACATGTACACAAATATATACACATACGTCCATGTAATGATTCATGTATTTATTACATGTATAACTTTAAAAAATACATAAATATTATAACATTGTTCATATGGTGCAACATATGAACATTTTTTTTTTTTTTTTGACTTAATGTTTTGGAATACTTCTCCACGTCAGTGCAGATCGGCCTTGACTTCCTATTAGCGCCACCTGGGAGCTTTTAAAAACTTATCAGTGCCTTTCCTCCACCCAAACCAATTAAGTCCGAATCTCTGGGGGTGGGTGGGGCTCAGAATTCTATGTTTGAAAAAGCAGCAGGTGATTCTTGAGTATGGCTAGGGTTGAGAGCCACTCATCCAGAACCAACTTTTTTTTCCCTCTTAAAAATGTGATGTTATTGCCTGTTAAGAATTTGCCATATTTTAATATAACAGATCTGTGTTGACAGTCAGCATGCCCTTGTATATGATCCCTTAAACATATATGTTTTTGTAGGTCAGGCACCTATAAAGGGATTACTCGGTTGAAAGATGTATTTAAATTTTTTAATTGCCAGGTTGCTCACCCCAGAAGACATATCAATTTTGCTTCCCACAACAGATTAGAAGATTTTCTGTTTTCCACTCCATTGCCAATACTTGATGGTATCAGTTTCTCAAATTTTTGTTAATCTGATAGTGAACATGGTCTCCCATTTTAATTTACATATCCTCATTTTCTAGTGAGGCTGGGCAGCTTTGCGTATGCTTAATGGCCACTTGTATTTGTCCACCTTTCTATTTTGTTTGCATCTTTCTTTTTAATTTGTAAGAGTTATTGATATGCTCTGCATATTTATCCCTTGTTACATATGTTGACAATATTTTCTCTCTGTCATACAGAGATTTTTCAGTGTTGATACAATTGGATCTGTCGATATTTTTTTTTTGCTTTTTCTTATTTAGGAAGCCCTTTCTAATTCCAAGATTAAAACACAGGTTTTATTTTGAAATTTTTATTTTTTTAGAGAGAGAGAGAGGGAGAAAGCATGCTTTGTTTAGAGAGAGAGAGAGAGGGTATGTGCCAGTGGGAGTGAGGGGCAGAGGGAGAGAGAGGATCTGAAGAAGATTCCATGCCCAGCATGAAGCCTGATGCAGGGCTCGATCCCATGACCCTGGGATCATGACCTGAGCCAAAATCAGGAGTCGGATGCCACCCAGGCACTCCTAAAAAACAGATTTTAAAAAAACTTTGCTCTAACTTTTAAAAATATTTATTTATTTAAATTTATTTATTTTGAGAGAGAGCATGAGCAGGGGAGGGGCAGAGAGAGAGGGAGAGAGAATCCCAAGCAAGTTCCCCACTGTTAGCACCGAGCTGGATGCGGGGCTTGATCCCATGAATCAGGAGATCACCTGAGCCGAAATCAAGAATCAGATGCTTAACCGACTGAGCCACCCAGACGCCCCTAAAAATACTTACTTACTTACTTACTTATTTATTTATTTATATTTTGTTTTATTTTATTTTTTAAATATAGTTTATTGTCAAGTTGGCTAACATACAGTGTATACAGTGTGCTCTTGGTTTTGGGGGTAGATTCCCATGGTTCATTGCTTACATACAACACCCAGTGGTGATTCCAACAAGTGCCCTCCTCAGTGCCCATCACCCATTTTCCCCTCTCCCCCACCCCATCCTCAGTTTTTTCTCTGTATTTAAGAGTCTCCTATGGTTTCTCTCCCTCCCTCTCTGTTTGTAACTATTTTTTTTTTACCCCTTCCCCCATGGTCTTCTGTTTCTCAGGATCACATATGAGTGAAAACATACCGTATCTGTCCTTCTCTGCCTGACTTATTTCACTCAGCATAATACCCTCCAGTTCCATCCACCTTGTTGCAAATGGCAGGATTTCATTCTTTCTCATTGCCCAGTAGTATTCCATTGTGTATATAAACCACATCTTCTTTATCCATTCATCAGTTGATGGTCATTTAGGCTCTTTCCATAGTTTGGCTATTGTTGAAAGTGTTGCTATAAACATTGGGGTACAAATGCCCTTATGCATCAGCACTCCTGTATCCTTTGGGTAAATTCCTAGTAGTGATATTACTGGGTCATAGGGGCAGATCTATTTTTAATTTTTTGAGGAACCTCCACACTGTTTTCCAGAGTGACTGCACCAGTTTGCATTCCCACCAGCAGTGCAAAAGGGTTCCTCTTTCTTCACATCCTTGCCACACCATTGTTGCCTGAGTTGTTAATGTTAGCCATTCTGACTGGTGTAAGGTGGTATCTTATTGTGGTTTTGATTTGTATTTCCCTGATGATGAGTGATGAGCATCTTTTCATGTGTCTGTTGGGCATCTGGATGTCTTCTTTGGAGAAGTGTCTGTTCATGTCTTCTGCCCATTTCTTCACTGGATTATTTGTTTTTTGGGTGTGGAGTTTGATAAGTTCCGTATAGATTTTGGATACTAACCCTTTATCCCATATTGTCATTTGCAAATATCTTCTCCCATTCTGTCAGTTGCCTTTTAGTTTTGTTGTTTCCTTTGCTGTACAGAAGCTTTTTATCTTGATAAGGTCCCAATAGTTCATTTTTGCTTTTAATTCCCTTGTCTTTGGAGATGTGTCAAGCAAGAAATGGCTGTGGCCGAGGTCAAAGAGGTTGTTGCCTGTTTTCTTCTCTAGGGTTTTGATGGTTTCCTGTCTCACATTCGGGTCTTTAATCCATTTTGAGTTCATTTTTGTGTATGGTGTAAGAAAGTGGTTCAATTTCATTCCTGTTTCAAAAGTGCTCTGGCTATGCTTGAACTCTTTTTGCTTTTTAGAAATGAATTTTAAATCAGCAAGATACTTAATGCCTCCCAAGTCGATTTCTTCATTTTCAAAAGAGAGGTTTATTTTAATATGTATGTTTATAGTACCCAGCACATAGTTTTAAATTGTTATGAAGCTTTTTTTTTTAAAGTTCTTCAGAATGTGTAAGAAAAGTTAAATTTCCTTTGCGTTGCTGTTTGATTTACTCATTTACTTGAACTTTTCTCTTTATTTAAACTGTGTTTGGTCTACCTTAAAATTTGCATTACTGTGGTTAGTCGACCTCTTCTTCCTGGATTTTGTTAAAGGAGAGTTTTTATAATCTTTCCTATCATCATCAGGTTTTTGTTACCAACTAAAGTGGTTATCACAAAGCACAGCTTGGTTTGTAATCCTAGCGAAATGCATATGCAATGGGCAGTGATGGGTTTTTGGCATCAGACAAGACTCGATCTGGTGATGACACATTGATTATGTTGCGGTATTCTGATTCATAGGCTTACATCACAGCCACTCCTCTCTCTACAAGCTTTAGGAATTTCTGCTCTTTGACAAGGTCTCTCCAGCAGGGAGAAGAGAAACCATCCTGTGATGTGGATGGCCTCCCTCGTTAATCTCTTTTCAGAGCAGACTGTCTGTAAGCCATCTCAGACTTAATTGTGTGTAGTCATTAAAGTAAGTGAGTTTCCTTTCATTGCCATTGCTGTGCTTGTTAAGCCAGAGAGTGTGCAGGTGCGTGTGTGCACAAGCTGGGAGGGACAGGAAAACAGTCGGATGCTATACGGTCTGTACATTATCAGTAGTGAGTATAAGTGATCTTTATATCCTTTGTTATTCTTTACCGTATTTTCGAGATTTCTTATAATGAACATATTATAAATCAAGAAAAAATGTTTAGAAAAACTTAAGACTGGCAAAAAGATGTACATTGAGTGATTATCAACATGTTGACAGGGACGCCTGGGTGGCTCAGTGGGTTAAGTGTCTGGCTTTGGCTCACGTCATGATCTTGTGGTTCATGGGTTCGAGCCCCGCATCGGGCTCTGTGCTGACAGCTCAGAGCCTGGAATCTGCTTTGGATTCTGTGTCTCCCTCTCTCTCTGCCCCTCCCCATTCATTCATTCATATTCTCTCTCTCTCAAAAAAAGATGTTGATTAATGTATTTCAGCATTTCATTTAATTCATGATATTCATTTACTCACAATTCTGTGTTGAGTGCTTACAATGCTGAGTAATGTTCTAGGTACCAGAGAAGTAGCAGTGAACAAAATAGATACACAGTCTCTGCCCTTAGTGAGCTGACACTGTGGTGAGGGAAAAAGGTAATGGTTTAAAATTTTCACTCCTCCCTATCTATTATTTGTACTGACTTTTAGATGAGAGTTTGTTTGCTATGGGACGTAACATATAAATGCGTGATATATGTGTTTTCATCCATGTTTGTGAAAAAACATTCCATTGGCAGAACCAACGAAAATTCTAGAATAGGATTTTAGAGGTGAAAGGCAAGGACAAGAGTCCTTTGACTTGTACTTTGGAGAAAAGCTTCTGGTTTGGGGGGAGTTGTGTGTAGTGTTCTTGAGAAGCTCCAGGAATTATTAGGTCGTGTAGGAAAGTTGGTTAAACAGAAAAAATTCGAGATCCCCTGAGAGAGGAGAAAACTGGGCCCCATATTAATATGTGAGCCTCTCTTTGCCTGGTTCACTCCTGTCATTCTTTATAAGCCAACTCACATGTCACCTTTCTGGGAGACTGTTGATGGCTTCTAAAAGCTGGGTTAGGATTCCCACCTCGATGTGTCCAGCATCCTGTGCTTACCCCATGATAGCTTTATTACATGTTTATCTCAAGCAGACTGCAAGCTCCTTGGAGGCAGGGGCTTCATATTTTCTTTCACTCTGTTCCCTGTATGTAGCATAGTGTTTGCTGTAGTGAACATGGTAAGGGATATGAATTACTTCTTTGGCTGAGATGCAGATATTTAGGAAAATAAACATTTGTATTTGCTTAGGTGATATGGGATGTGGTTGTTTTTTTTTTTTTTTTGGATAGGGAATACAGACTTCAGAGTTTGAAGAGTTTGACCCCCAGGCTCCATTCTTGGCCAGCGGACTCTAAATGCAGCGGCTTGTGCAAGGTGGATTTGGCTGGTCTGGGAGCCAGCTTTGTTAGCTCTCCCAGCTTCTAGAATTGGCTGCTGCTTAACCTTCTGTGGGAGAGGCTACCAGATGGAATCCAGGCTCTTCGTTCCCTTCCCGTTATTTCTCTGCCTCCTGAGAGTTCTCCTGCACGTGGGGTTCAGAGTTCCTCCTGTGGACGTCTCTTGTAGGAGTGTCTTTGGCATGGTGCACAGCAGTGCTCAGCATGGGTCGGCATCGGTGTGGCCAGGGACGGGTGGGCCCGTTTCACGTCCAGCTCTTTTGGTCTAGTTTTTCCGAACCCCGTCTCCCCGCTTTGGTCCCACTCTGTTTCTCTGATCTTACCCTTTCCCCTTCCCCCTTTTTCCTGAGTATATCATCTACTCTAGAGCAGCCAGGAGTGTCATGGGCCGTTCTTAGTTCCCCAGAACAATTGAATTTTGCTTTGGACTTTGACCTTCAGTTGAACCTTATTAGTGCCGTTAGCATTAGGGTAACAACCCGGAAAACCCCTGAGCCCCAGATTGTTGATTGCTCTGATGGTGCTGACCTGGGAAACCTGCGTCACTAATGACTTGGATGAGTCTGAAATTTTGTTTTCTAGCACTTACTTGCAGTCAGCATGTACATTTTATTCACCACAGGCTGTAAGATTGGGTAATGTTATGTCACAGGAAACGAGTAATCTCTCTTCCTCTTTAATCACTAGCCAAAGGCTTTTGAACAATACTTGAATCTGGAAGATAGCCGACTGCTGAGTCATCTGAAGACGTGTTCTGCGCTGTCCAAACTTCCTTATGATCTCTGGTTCAAGAGGTGCTTCGCAGGGTGCTTGCCCGAATCCAGTTTACAGAGGCAAGTATTTCATGGATGTTCTGAAGGCCTGGAGTCAGAGAAGGGTCCTGGTTTTTCACATGATCAGCCTTCAAAGTATGAATTTGCTTTAGAACAATACCATAGTTTGAAGCGAACTTCTCTGGCAGACAACAGAGCAACACTTGATTCTACTTATTATACAGTTAGAAATACTAGAACGTTAGTAATATTAATCTAATATGAATACAAATTGATGTTAATGCTGGAAATATTAGAATATAACATTAGAAAACTTGAAGGCCCTCAATATGCTAGATGCTGTAGGTTATTCACATCTGAAACCGTCTCTAGGAGTATATATGGATATAGGCTTTCCTTTGCCAGAAATGTGAGGGATCCTAATCCCAAGCAAACCTTCCTATTTCTTAGTTCCATCTGGCATCTTTAAAGTAGGTGAAGGCAGGCAGAGAGCTAAGACTCAAACTCCGTTCTCATTCAGGTCAGATACGTGCTGCCAGTAGTTCAGAGCCCCGGGCCTTCCCGCTCAAAGACCGTGTGAGGTGGTTGGGAGGGGAGGTGACATACAGAGGACATCACAAGACAGTACGTGACTAAGCACAAAGAGTGTAACACCAGCTTGAAGAATTACCGGAATAATTGTGTTTAGAGTGGTTGAGATCAATAACTAGCTCCTTAAGCTCTTAGAGAAGTTTTAGGAATTTGAACCGCTGGAACCGTTGCACCAATCTTATTTCAAATGATGCTTTTGTTTTCCTTAGTATTTAATGATTATATTAGCATTACACAATATTAGTGAAATCCAAACTTTGGTTTAAGACTTTCCTTCCCTAGGGGCACCCGGGCGGTTCAGTCGGTTAAGTGTCCGACTTCGGGTCAGGTCATGATCTCACGGTTCATGAGTTTGAGTCCCATGTCGGGCTCTGTGCTGACAGCTCAGAGCCTGGAACCTGCTTTGGATTCTGTCTCCTCCTCTCTCTGCCCCACCCCAGCTCACACTCTGTCTCTGTCTCTCTCTCAAAAAATTAAATAATAAACATTAAAAAAAAAAAAAAAGACTTCCTTTCCCTAAAATGTCAGTTTTAAAACATTAGGGAATGGGTGTTTCGTAGATCCCTTGCAGAGCAAGTACCTTTTAGTGATTATTCCTTCTTCCCTTCCAGTGCTAATTGTGTCTGAAATAAGTTTCCAATGGCTGATTTATTTTGTTGTTTTTTTGATGATTATTTCATTATAGCTTTTCTCTGAAGTTTATACTTAAAAGAAGTAATTTGGTTTAATATTGTAATTTGAGATGTTTAGCTAAACATAAATTTCACACTCAAATGATTTTATTGTATCTTTTTGTTTTTATAGGGTTTGGGATAAAGTTGTAAGTGGATCCTGTAAGATCTTAGTTTTTGTAGCTGTGGAAATTTTATTAACCTTTAAAATAAAAGTAATGGCTCTGAACAGTGCAGAGAAGATAACAAAGTTTCTGGAAAATGTAAGTATGCTTTTTTCAAATTTGATTTTGAATCTAGAAAGGAAGTCGTTTGGGAAGCCAGATTTTTTTATTGCATCACATTCTTTCTCTGATATTTTTACATTATAAGAAATACTTTTTCCCCTTGGAAAAGTTTAGCTTAAAGTTGGTCTGTGGATTACAGTTTGCATTCTCTCTTTGGGGGATGATGGTCTGAGCAGTGAGACCGTTGTCGTGTGCACTGAAGACTAGAGTCTCCTCCCCTGATGTGACTCTCAGAGGCTTGTTGAGAAAAGGAAGAGGTGAGGTCTGTCATGTGAGGCTGAATAATCCTTTTTAGTGGAAAGGAAGCTTGATGGTTTTTGGGCGGGGGGGGGGGGGGGGGTGGCTTGTAAGCCTTTTCATTATTGTTACTGTCTCTGGTTGAACCTCAGTTGGGTTTGTTAATGTGCTTAAGTATATACTTAGTGCATGTTGGAAAAGGTCTAAATGAATCTCTGTGTATCTTAGAATAAATAAACTTAACTAGGCGAGAGGTAGAAGAGATTCATGGATGAATGAATCTGGATGAATTTCACTGGACCCCAGGTCTATTCTTTTTTTTTAAATTGGTCACTATTGACATTTGAATAGTGGCCTAGTAAATAGTAAGTACTAAGTGAACGTGTGATGAGTAAATGAATCATCAGCATTGTATTGGTGGCTAACAGTGCCAGGGCCCATACTAAGTATTTCTCATGGATTCTCCCATGTAATCCTAAACAGCCCTAGGAAGTGAGGCTGTCGTTTGCCCCATTGTGGAGATGGGATGTGAACTCGGGCAGCTTCGGTAACCTGCCCAGGGGCACACGGTGGGCAAGGCGGGTTTTAAACCCAGGCGGTCTGTCCAGAGCTCCTTAGTGTGTCCTCAGGTGGCCCGTGAAACAAAGATCCTGGCAGCAGCCTTTTATACGATACTCTCTGGCAAGTAGTGGAAACTCCGGTGGGAATTAAGTGCTCTGCCATAGTGAATAAGGGACATGATGAAGTTATAAACCCTGAAATTTCACAGAGACTGGTTTGCTTGTCCACAGATTCCCCAGGACAGCTCGGACGCAATCGTGAGCAAGGCCATCGACTTATGGCACAAGCACTGTGGGACCCCGGTGCACTCAGCCTGACCACTCCCGACACGTGCACGGCCTGCCAGGTCCCCCCTGAGCAGTGTGCTCTCAGGACACGGTCTACTAAACTCATTGAAAATAGGGTTCTGCTTTGGCACTCAAAGCATCATTTTTTCCAGTAAAATGATTTACGACACCTGATGACGTTGTGTTGTGGAGCAGCATCTTTTGGGTGTACAGAGGTACAAAGTTCAACTCTGAATAGCATTTTAAAAGGGTTATTCGAAAATGCCTCTCTGTTTGCAAAGCAGTTCAGTCAGGGTGAGCGGGTGCCACGGTAGGCAGTGTATAAGCAAGCCCGCCCTGCTTCTGTCTCATTAGCACCACGCTTGTTACTTTCTAAGGTCTATTTCTGGAATAAAGAACAACTTCCTTTTGTTGACAGCTCAGATTCGGCTTTCGTTCGTGCAGTACTTGTTGAAATCTAAGCCGGCTGCTTTCTGAGGCTTTGTCTTGCCAAATCGGTTTAAATAAAAGCCTTACTTTTTTTTTTTTTTTCTCAGTTTCAGTTGGAATGAAACAGTTATTGAACAAAACATGTCTAAATTTACCTACTAGGAGAGAGAGTGCTTGCTGATGTCCTGCTGGACTCCTGCTTTTTCCTGATGGGTCATTCAATGTCGGGTGGGCTTTAGGGAACATTCTGCCACCTAGAATTGGAATATGAGAAGTGGCAGGTTAAGTAAGGTTAACAGCTAACAGGCCTGGGCCATATTGTGCCACACGATGGTGACTGTTCATTGAGCAGTTACGGGCATTGAGAGTGGTGAGTGAGACGAGGCCCTGATTCAGCTGCCAGACCTGCAGGAGCCCGAGGGGTGAGTTGGACCCTGTACCCAGAAGAGGAGGGAGACCATAAAATTATGGAGCTGTAATTCGGACAATTCATTCCTTCCCTGATGTGTAAAATAACTGTTGGGAAAAAACTCAGAAGGGAGTCGAGTTGTTGAAACCAGCTGGTACTTCTGTATAGTAACATATCCAAGAGTGTTTCATTTTTAAAACAAAAAAATACACCCAGAAGAAAACTTCTTAAAGCAAAATGCTGCCTACAGTTGATGCTTTGCATTCATTCAGTGACTGGCTCTGCCCCCAAAGAACTTTCCAGCCAGTTGGAGATCTGAGAGAAAACATGTAAGAAGGATTCCTGCTCCAGTTGTCTACTATTTGGTGATTTTGGGGGATACGTGAAATTCACAGACAAGTCCTATAACAAAAATAATTTTATTTCTATTTAATTTATAGCCGCATAACATTAGTACAACTTTTTAGTAAAATACAGATTATAAAGTGATAGTAAATTTCAACTTCAGAAAAAGAGGAAACAAAGAATTAGCAACCTCTCAACAAGAGGATAGTTTCAAGGTATGTGCTCTTGCTTCATCCCGGATTCTGGGGAAAGACTAGCATGCCATAGCGCAGGGGTTGGAAGGAGCGGGGGGGGGAGAGGGGCACAGGGGGCGCCTGGGATTCTTGGGAGGAAAGAAGCTCAGGGGGCAGGGGTATTCCTCTTTACAACTTAGGGGAGGGTCTAGATACACTGAAGGGAAGACTCTTACTGTCCTACGAAGGGATCAAAACAGAAGTATTCTGCAAGTATCTTCTGTCACAGCAGGTTGGACAAACCTTTCTGGCTATGGGCTGTGGTCTGGGGGATTTTCTTTTAAAGTGAGTCAATCTGATACCATCACCAGTTTTCTTAGCCAAATGGCTCATCTCAGCGGCAGGGTTTTTTAAGGCCCCCAGTGATAGAATAGGTGAGGGTCCAACTTCATTTTGGTATCAGAATTTTATCTTGCAGAGAGCCTAAGTATTTTGAAAACGTTTCTGCCCACTGCCTTTGGTGAGAAGGACAGCTCCCGATGAAAATCTGCCCATATTCCCATTATTCAAAACTTTCTGCCAGGATACTGCAGAATTTCCCCTCTGTTACAGCCCAGGGTTCTTGTAACCAAAACTGTTTCAGCTAATACGTGGGGGCTCTCCCTCCCTGTCCCTTGGAAAATTAGTTTAACATTGTTTAGGCTTAGTCCTTCCCTTCCACAATGTCTTAACACACACACACACACACACACACACACACACACACACACACACACATTCATTCATTTATTTTTTACAGTGTCTTCATAAACACAGATGAAAAAGCTCTTAACTCTGCTCTGCTAGGAGATACTGAGGGCCATTGGACGGTTGGGGGTGTGTGGCTTCTGACTAATAACGGATGGAATCAACACATTGTCCACGGGCTTGTGGGGGTGTGTCTGACTTTACCTCAGTAAATGGGGGCTGGGTTCATTAGAGTGAAGTGCTTTTGTTGTTGATGGAAAGTTTGCCTGAAAGTCATGGGGGGACCCTCAAGTCATAGGATGTGTAGGAAGAGCCCTGAAGGCCCCCATCCTGTTACATGCCTGCCGCCACGTCTTGACTTACGTAGGAGTCCGTCCTTGGTTCTGACTTGTCCCCCGTCACGTGGTCGTCACGTCCCCGCTGTGAGGGGTTGATTTGTTTTCTCCCTAAAAATGAAGGATCTGGAGGGAAGTCCATGAGGATGAGGAGGGCAGAAACAGAGCATATATGCCCTGGACTGGCCTCTTGCTCCAAGTGACAGCCTCTGCCGGTGCCGTGAGATTTCAAGCAGGAGGCGAGCCCAGACTTTGGCAGCCAGAGGCAGCCTCTGGGAGGCTGGGGGTGTGGGCAGCCGGTGGGTCCTCTGGCTCAGCGTTTTGCATCTGCCGGTGGTCACACAGGATAAGCCGCTTTTGTCTTCAGCTGGATGTTCTGGGTTTGGAAGGGCCAGAGGACACTGTCCTTTGCCTCGCCAGAGAGGGGACTGTGGGAATTTTTGTAGCAGGAGTCGGCGTTCCCCCCGGTGGATGAAACAAAGAGCTGTTTCTCCTTTAGACGCCGTGCCAAATGAAACTGCTTGTGGCTCTTGGCAGCAGCCTCAGCTCCCTAGGTCTGCTGTTGGCTTCCCCACAGTCAGCGCCCGGTTGAGTGGGAGGGAGGGCTGTGGGAAGGAAGAGGGGTGGTCAGAATGGAGGGAGCTGGGAAGTTTCCTGGAGGACCACAGGGTGGGGTGGGGATGCCTGCCTTTTTCCTGCTTTCCTGATCAGCTCCTCCCTCTCCTTTTTGGTTTCTTTCAGCCTTGCCTTCTGGAGGTTAAAAAGTCAGTGGACAGTTAGTTGCCCGGTGAGGTGAGGATTCCCCACCTTGCTCCTGGGAGCCGGTCTTACTGTAGGGTAACCACAGGAGGAAGCTGGAGAGTGTGATCCGAGAAGAACATGGGAAAAATCCTTCAAGCAAGCAACTTGTCCTGAACGGGCAGAACTCCAAATAGAGTATCACAGTGGGTGCTTAGTGTTCAGACCTCAGATCCCACCTGACATGGAGGTACGAACGTGTCGTTTACCAGGAACTTGTGTGCACACACGCCAGGGACCGCAGGCTCACACGCTCGCCTCTTGCCTCTGACCCCCCTGTTCGGTCCCTCCCGCCGCCCTCCTTCTCCCGGAGGGTTAGCAAGTAGCAACCTGGCATTTGTAGCTTTGGCGTCTCTCTTTTCCCACCTCTGCCTGCACTCGGGACTTGATGCCGTGAAGGTTTGTGAGGGGGGCAGCGAGGAGGAGGAGAGCTTTGGACAGTTCACTTCCAGATGTCAGAAGGCTGCCCTCAACGCCGTGACGAACGTCCGTCCCCACCTCCCCTTCCTCCCCTTCCTCCCCTTCTCCCCCTTCCCTTCTGTTTGGCTCGTTTACTTTGCTAGTAGTTCTCATTCAGTCATTGAAATCGGTATGAACACACTCCTAATTATGGGCCAGGAACTGAGCCGAACTGCTGAACGAGTCACGAGTCATGGGGTGTCTGACCTCTTGGAGATTTTAATCACGCGGGGAAGACAGATACGAAATTAAACAAGCCCAATGCATTGTGTTCTCTTGGTCCTTAAGAGGGACTCTTCAATCCTCTCTGTGCCCCATAGGGGAGAAGGTAACGTGGGTTGGCCCAGAAATTCCGGACCAGGGTTAGGATTACTCTGACGTGTGTGGTTCTTTGTCCCCGTCCCTTGTCCCTTATTAATCGGGGGCCGGGGCCAGGGTGTGGGGGAAAGGCCTGAGCTTTTGTGCCCCTCGCTAATTCTGTGACCTGAGGGGCTCACTCGGTGTGTATTTGCTTCCCTATGACCAGACGGCAGTTCTGTTACACTCCTGACCTCTCTCCTCTGTGTGCCCACGAGCATCGAACGAGTTTGATGTGAAAGCAGTTTAAGAAATCTGGAGCTCTGTAGAATACTGAATATTTTTAACAGCATGTTGTGCAAGAATGTGGCCGGGCGCTGCCTCCGACTCCACACGGTGCTTCAAGGCCTAACTCCGCTCTGCCCGTTCTGAAAGTCTCTGTAAACTTCTAAGCTGGAAGGGCATTCTCCTTCCTCTCAGCTGCTGGACTGTTTCAGGCACCACTTATTTTGTAGTGATTGTTTGGAAGTCCCTTGTTTGCTAGTCTTGGACTTTTACTAAGTTTTCCATGCGGTTTTCCTCTCAACTGCAAGCCTCTTGAGGCCAGTGTCTTGTTCCCTTTCCCCAATCCCCACCTTACCTAGTCCAGCTTTTCACGCGTGTTTTCTCCCCCAAACCGTGCTGGCCCGCCCTTCCCTGGGTGTGCGGTCACCTCTGCCAGGGACGTCTACTCCCTGAAGCCGGGCTCCCGTCTCTGAGGTTCAGCTCGAGGAGCCCCTCCTCAAAAAGCTCTCCCGGCTCCCTGCCCCTTTCCTTTTGCCCCAGGCTGGTTTCCTTCCTGGCACTCTGTGTCCTCTAGTACACTGGCTGAGGTCCCACACTAGCCCGTGAGCCCCTCAAGGGTAGAGATCGTGTTTCTTTCCCTTTTCCTTTCCCTCAGAGTCAAGCACGTCTCAGCCTGCCTGGGCTCGCCGTGGACAGGAGTTCGAGTACGTGCCCGGCTCAGTGTTGATGAGGACTGCTGTGGTGACACACAGTGGGATTGTTCTGGGGCTAGCTGGCTTACAGGAGATGTGTATTTTAGGGCACAGGGTGAGGGTCAGGACCCAGAGGGCTTAGGGCTAGATCTGGGGTAAAGAGAGTCTGCGCTCTTGGACTTTCTTCTCTTCGACCTAATCTGTGTGTCTGCTGTGTTCCCCCTCCTTGCTGTCGGACCGCTCTGGTAGAAGATGCCTTATCCTAAGATCCCAAGCTGGTTTGCCGTAGGTCCAGTCTTTGGAGACAGAGGCTCTCGGTCCCAGTTCATCAGACTGTGGGAAAGAGTCTGTGGTCCAGCTCGGGTCTGATGCTACCCACAGACCGGTCATCTCTAGCCGTGGGAACGGAGGGGGTCGTTCAGCAGCCATGTGGCTACCGGGAGCCTCCCTTGTGTCCATGGCAGTGTAGGGATGGTGAGGGAGGGACATTGTTACGGGGTCCACTCTGAACGGAGAAGACACTCTGAAAAGCTTTCCTCTCCATTTAGCAAATCTGTTAACTGGATACGTACCCTGCAAAGGTGCCAGGAAGGGTACCAGGCGCCTCTGCCTTGAACGAAGTCTGAGTGATGTTTCTGGTCACCACTCATTTCTGGTTTCTGACAACCGGTCGGAGGGTGGCCCATCCAGCTCTTTCAGATGGGGTAGGAAGAGTGGGAATGCCCCACTAGGAACTTCAGCAAACTGTCTCCTAGGGCTAGGCGTTTGTGGACATTTTGTATCAAGTCTAACTTCATTCTGGAACTCTACAGAAAGTTGGCTTCACCCAGCTCCTTCCCCCAAGCTGAGTCAAGTGGGAGGGCTTGGTGACGAGTGGAGCAGCTGTGTTTATTTGCCTCTGATTGCTTGGGAGGGTGTATGTTCCTCCCCGGGGTGGCCAACGTCTGGGTCTCAGAACGGAGTCGGGCGGCGGCCAGACCTGGTGGCAGTTGGGTGAACCTGCGTCAGGTCAGTTAGGGTTTGCAGCCGCTATGGCCGGCTGATTTCAAGATCACAGGGGAGGCACACCTAGACCTGAGGAATGTCGGAGCTGGACGAAAGCCTGAAAGTCGTCTGCTTCCACACTCCCCTCCCCAGGGTGCAGATAAGAGAAGTGAGGTTCCGGTGGTAAAGGGGGCTATTCAAGGTCACCACAGATAGCCAAGCAGCTTCTAGAGCCCAGGCATCCTGCTTCCTGGCTGGGGTGTACTTCGGTTCACCGAGCTGCTCCCTCACCCTGAAGCAGTGCCCCAGTCTCTTCTGTGATCCTCAGGGTCCCTTCATCGGGATAAAACGTTGTCCGGGTGTCCCCCAGCTGGCGCTTGCTGGCTGGGTGACGTGGCCGTCGTCTTCATCCGTAAAGAGGGGGGATGATGGTAACAGTAGCCACCTGACAGAGCTGTTAGGGAAAAGTGCAGAAGGATGCACACTGTCCTCCGATCAGTGCCTGGCACAGAATAAGCTCTCAATAAACGTTAGGTGCGACTGCCTCACCGGTGATAACGATTCACGTGTCCGTTCTTCTCATAGAGGCGGCATTTTCAGTCTCACTAAAGACGAAATGTCTTAGACGAGTCTGCTTCCTGAGATGAGGCTTTTAGGAGACTACGGACCCGTTACCGGTTCTTTAAATCATGCATTTTGAATGGGGCTTCTTCAACTTTAATGTGCAGAGGAATCCCCTAGGGCCCTTGTTAAAATGCAGATTCTGGTTTAGTACTGGGGGTGGGGGGCTGAGGTTCTGAATTTCTGATATGCTTCCTGGTGATGCCGATGCTTCTGGACGTGGGGACCACAGTTTGAGTACAAGGATTTAGGGAAAGTAGGTTTTGCCTAGTACAGTGTTTAACTCTGACTGACAAAGAAAGAAATACACCGCAGACAATGCCGCCTTCCTGTACCGTTTTCTCTTTCTTATTTTTATTTTTTAAGTTTCTTTATTTTGAAAGAGAGAGCGCACGTGGGGGATGGGCAGAGAGAGAAGGGAGAGAGAATCCCAAGCAGGAGCCTGACCGCAAGGCTCAATCCCAGGAACCGTGAGATCATGACCTGAGCCGAAATCAAGAATTGGATCCTTAACGGACTGAACCACTCAGGTGCCCCAGTTTTCTCGTTTTTAAATGATTAGTCTGACTTCATTTCTAGGTGATGGTAGGGATATTACTAAAAGTTTATAAAGCACTTCATCAAAGCCTGTATTTAGTCTCAGTACTGTGATGTGGATGTTCTCTATGAATTGTTCTCTCTCCCCTGGGCCACGGGAAGTGCCTTCACTATAACCTATCACAAGTCAGCTCATTACCAAGGACAGCTGTGTGGCTGTCCATACAAGGATAGCTGACCGGGCACATCCATCCTTTCTTCCTTCCTTACTAACCAGACCTCAGGTTATTTGAGGTAGGAGTATGTTACGAAAACTTTATGTACCAGCCTCTTGTGCAAAGAGGGACAGATAGTAAGACGGAAGGCAAAGTCATTAGGTAAGACCTTCTAGAAAAGGTCTTTATTTGAAGAGAATTTACTCAGTGGGCAGGTAATCGGCATCTTACTTCCTGCCTAGAACACGTATATGGCGTCTGGAACTCCAGCAGCCACATTGGAACATGAGGCAACCGCAAAGATGGAAACCACATGATAAGGATGATGGGGCAGAAAAATGGAGTTGCGGCTCACTGATGACGTCACGAGCTTTTCCTTGCTTAGCTCCGGACTTCATTTGCACAAACAAATAAGTACAGTTGTTTGGGCCACAGTTTGGGTTTCCTGTTCTCTGAAGGCTGCTGAGCCCGTTGCTGACACTGCCAGAGCAGATGCGGTTCAGCAGGGTAGATGCGGGTTTAAATGGGCGTCTTCATCTGACCCCCTTCTGAGCACCCTTTGTGGGCTTCCCTAGTCATGTAGGGGCAAGGGGCCTGGATGGAGAGTCAGAGGCCTGGGGTTCTTAGCTCTGCCGTTCCCTGGCTGCGTGATCCCGTTCTTTTTAAGCCTCAGTCTCCTTGCCTGTCAAACGGGGAGGAGATGAAAGTGTCCAGCACGGTGCCGGGTGCAGAGCTGATGTCGGCTGGGGTTGGGGTGGTCTCAGGATGACGGTGTGAGGGCGCAGCGGTCAACCCGGCAGCAGCGGCCGGTGCTGACCTGAAGGGAGGCAGGGGTGCGGCTGGGGCGGAGGCAGGGACCCACCACCCAGTGCTTCCATCAAGGCGGGCACCTCGGTGTGCCGGGGCCGGCGAACGCTGCTGCCTCCGCCGCAAGCAGGGGGGCTGGACGACGTGCCCCTGTGAGCGTTAACGCTCTGTCCGTGTGATTTAGTTGAGGGGACGCGGTAGAGCACAAACAGCTTTCGGGGGGGCCTCGAGAAACGTGCCTTCGCCTCTTCCCTCTGCCAGCTCGCGAGCTGTGAGCCGAGGCCCTGGAGGCCGCTCAGCCCACCTCTCCCCTCCGCTCGTCGCTTTGCTGCTGAAACGCCAATCGCTTGACAGCATCTCCTTGCTCCGAGCCCTTGGAATGGGCCCGTGTCTGCTCCCTCTCCTGTTGACCGGGGCCCACAGAGGGGTGTTTCCAGCCACGGCGGAACGGGCCGCACCTTTTCCATCCAAATAAGGGACCATTTATTTATTATTTATTATTTATTTATTTATTTATTTATTTATGCTTCAAATTTCTCTCCCCCACCGTCCAATCATGCTCTGCGAATCATGCTCTGCACCTGCACTGTTTCCACTCTCGCAGAGCTGGCTGGTTCCTGGGGGGCAAAACTATGTCTTTACAAGAAACTGAAACCACCGAGAGGCAGAGGCGGCCTGATCTCCCAGCCTGGCAGGGGGAGGAGGTGATGGGCAGGCGGAGACCTGAACTAGGAACCTCACTGCTGGGCCCCAGGAGGCTGCATGTGCCTGACCAGCTGCCAGATGGTCTGAAAAATGCCTCCATTTCCTTATTGTGGTCTGTTCCCA